GCCCTGTGGGGGCAGCAGAGGCGGCCCCTCGTGGTCCAGGCCCCAGGCCCTGAGCCTCTCATTGCTGGCCTTGCTCCACACCAGGGCCAGGCCTTGGACACCGCCCCCCTGAGGTCACCGGGGTCACCAGTCCTGTGACATCCATTCAGCCCCAGGGAGGAGCAGGGGGGATGTGGGGGTCACTGGCGTGGCCCCTGGGGTGCAGAGGGGGCTGGCTTCACCACTGCCCACCCCTAACCTGGAGGAGTCATCCCAGGTCCCACCCACCCAGGGGGCCCCCAACAACTTGCCAGGAGGCCTGGGGGCCACACCCCAGATGAGAGACTGGCTCAGCAGGTTCCCGGGGCCACGGCTACTGAGAGGCGCAGCCGGACGGGCCCACGTGGCTCGGCTCCTGCCTGCGCTGCAGACCTCGCACGGCCAGGCCTCTCCCTCCCCGGCGAGGCCAGAGACACCAGTTTCCAGTGGACGTGGGGGTGGGGGTCAGAGGGGTCCCTGCTGGCACCCCTCACACTCAGGTCTTTCAGGTCCGGGGCCTGCGGCCTGAGCTGAAGGACATTGAGCAGAGGCCCGTGGCCAAGGCCTGGCTGTGCAGAATCGGGGGCCGGGCAGGCATCGGCTGCAGCAGGAAGGGGGTCGGGACAGAAGGTGGAGGGGCAGCCACGCGGGGAGCAGCCCTTCAAGGAACTGGTGGTGTAAGCAGGGCTCTGTCCCTTTGACAAGAGGGGAAACTGAGTCACAAGGAGGGCCAGGCTCATATGTCAGGAGGGGGGAGCCCCCCGTCACATTGGGGGCTCCCCGAGGAAGGGCCTGTGTGACGGGGCCCAGGGTGGGCATCTCTGCCTCTTGCAGCCTGGCCCGCCTCCCTGAGCTGCTGTGGCTCCCACTCACCCTGGAGCCTGGACTTGATTCCTGGGGCCTCCTGCCTGGGCCGGCCTCCCGGGGTCCCTGGCAGCGGCCTCGCCTGGCGGCTGTGGCAGGTCCCGAGAGCCGGTCAGCCAGTCGGCTAGTTGTCTCGTCCTGGTCCTGGATCCTGGTCGGTGCCTCGGACTCGTGGAGTCACATTGTGACATTGTTACTGGACCGAG